CCCCACCCTCCCTTGCACACCCACAGCTGGGGGGGGCCTCAGCACCCTGCCTAGCTCTCTTTGATGGCCGGAATCCCCAGAAGTCGCCTGCGACCTCCTCCCCCTCTGCAGCCCTAAAAAGGACGCGGGGTCCCGGCCCGACGCAGGCGGAACCTTCTGCCCGCCTCTTACTGACCGAGGAAAATGGCCTTGCGCGTTTGGATAACTAGGGAGAGATAGGTCGTTTCCCCTACCCAACCGCTCCTTGGGCTTTGTGCCCCAGCGAGCGTGAATTCGCCTGCTGAGGGAAGAGAGCAAATGATGGCGATGGACAAGATGGACAAAACCAGCGGCCCCTGCACATCCCAGCAGTTGTGAGGGAAAGTAGGGAACCCAGGGATCGAGAAGTGCCCACGATCTTCCCCAAAGCCAGAAGCATGCCTAACGCCTGCTGCCCTACAAAATGCCGGGCACTCTGACCAGGGACCCTGCGGCCAGGCCTGAGCGCTTTGTCCCTAGCCCGCCTGAGGATGCTACCAGATGAGGGTTGGACACAGAGGTTCGTTCGTCTGCTGGGGCCGCCGCTGAGCTTTTGGGCTCTTGGGCTCAGAGCCTGAGACTGTAGGCAAGGCACGTGTACTGGCGCGAAGTTCCCACAGTTAGCTGCAAGAGGAGCGAAGTATGTACTCCAAACTTTACAGGGTTCCAAACTGAGCGCTTCCATTAAATGAAGCGGTGTGTGGAAAAGCATTCTGGGTATTAGCATGCAAATGAACGGGCCCGGCTTTAAACTCGGTTTGGCTCGATGTATTCCCACCACTGTGCGCCTGGCATGCCGCTAGCCACACGCTCACTGAGTCTTCCCAGCGTAACACTGTAAGAGGACCCTAGTTCAAATCCTAGACCTGAGCTCTCTGGTTGGTGCCAGTTACATGGCTTCTGTGAGCCAGTTTCGTAACCTGTACACTGGACAAAGCAGCTTTTCTCTTAAGAATTGAGAATTCACCCTCCTCAGACAGTACATTCCAGACTTACTGGAGAAAATGATGGATGAGGCTTGAGGAAAACTCCCTGTCCCTTAAGCCTAAATCCTGTATTACAGCAAGCAAGTTATTGCCTTAATCTCGGTCCCAGCATTTTAAAGGCAGATTCTGGGAACTTGAAGTTTTTTTGTCCGATTGTGTTTGCTGTTGAGTCCAAGACAGAGAGCATCCATCTAGTATGTTCTAGGGCCCTGTTCTTTCCCAGACTGGGGCTGGGGAGCAGAAAGAGGGTCCTGATACTCAATGCCCACTCTACTCACATCTCCCCAGCTTAGATGTGCATGTTTCTAATTAAGCCCGAGAAAAGTGGAAAAGTGAGAGACTTGCCCAAGGCCACACTGTTGGTGGTAGAGACAGAAGTCAACCCAACCTCCTCTCCAGGGGTGTGAACCCCATTAGTGGCTCCTTTGAGTTAGACTCTGAATCTCGGTAGGCTATGTTTGGAAAACTGGATGCTTGCCGGCAGTGGTGGCAGCCAATCCCTTTAATTCCAGTTCTCAAGAGGCAGAGGCAGGTGTATCTCTTGAGTTCAGGACCAGCCTGACCTATAGATTGAGTTCCAGGAGAGCCAAGGGCAGCCAGGGCTACACAGAGAAATCCTGTCTCGAAAAACAAAAGAAAAGAAAACTGGATGCCATTAACTAGCAGCATTGCAGTGGTTCTCCTTGCAAAGAGGAGTTCACAGGACTCCTCACCCACAGTGCTCCAAGGAAAACAAGGGACACACTGCCCCATTGCTGGAGTAATACTGATGCTGGAGTAAACCTAGTGACTCAGGATCCCACCTTGGAAAAGTGGCTAGGCGCAGGTGAAAATACCAGTGTTGACCCCACCCATAGCTTTTTCCTGCTTGTCACCAAGGCAGTGCTTATGCAGGACCCAGGGTTTTTCTGCAACCCTGTTCTCCCTCTCACCCATCTATTGGACCCAGAGGCACCTATTCTGTAACTTTAGGCTTCCAGATGTGTTTATAGAATCTCAATACACAGCTCAGACTGGCCTAGAGTGAGTGTGCAATCTCCGGCCTCTGCATCCTGAGTGCTGCAATTACAGCATACACCACCATGCCCAGCTCCTGCATTTAACTTTGTATGGAACCATCAGGCCTTTCTATAGTGGCTGCACTTTCACAGCTCCACCACACATACCTTTTTCTCAGTCGTTTTAAAGCTTATCAAAACTCTCCACTTATGAATGAGCAAGCTGAGGCTTGGAGGGTTAAATAACTTGCCCAAGATGACATGCCTGGGTCCAGACTAGCACCTCCCGTCCTTTAAATCTCACCTACCTGAGCATTCATTGATTGGCTTAACAAGTTTGCCCAGTGAAGAACTGAGATAAGTATTTATGAACTACATCTTTTTCCCTCCATATCTGAGGACAGAGTCTATTGCCTTATTCTCAGTTTCTAGGCTGCACCTTGAAGAGAAACAAGAGCTCACAATCCCTGAGTCTGCCTCCTGCTGCTGGCCTGTTGGACCTTCTACAGTTGCCATGGAAACTGTGTACCTCAGTTTTGGCTCTGCACCAGCTGGATAGCAAACTGAAGAGCATCATTGTCTCTCAGGCTAAGCAGAGCTGTCGAGGTCATTCATTCATTAGATTAATATTGATTGAGCACCTACTAAGCGCTTTGTTTTGTTTCATGGGTTTTTTAGATGCTGGAGAATACAGTAGTAAACAAACTAGACTTCAGTCATAGCCACCAAGAATTCCAAAGCCCAGAGAAGCTGAGAGACAAGAAATAAGGACACAGTAAAGTCTTCTCTTGACTTCTTCCCCCCCAGTCCAAGTTTTCCACTCACAGCCTCTTCTCCTGGCCCATCCTCTGCAAAAGCCCGGACAAGTAAAGCTCCTTTCAGCATTTACAGCTCTGTTCTTCCGTTTCATTTTTTTTTTCCTGGTTGTGAAAACCAAAGAAATTTCAGGTAATATATGAAAGCAACAGGAAAAATTAAATCTGTGATGTTACCACCGAGAGTTAAGAGCTACAAGCCAGATGATGGTGGCACCTGCCTTAAATCCCAACACTCAGAAGGCAGAAGCAAGTGGACCCCTATGAGTTCAAGGCCAGCCTGGTCTCCAAATCAAGTTCCAAGATAGCCAGGGCTACACAGAGAAACCCTGTCGTAAAAAAAAAAAAAAAAAAAAAAAAAGAGCTACCAACATTTCCTTTGGGTCTTTTCCTACATATGAATAATAGTTTTGTTATTCTCTCTATCCCTCCCTTCTCTCTCTCTCTCTCTCTCTCTCTGTGTTTTTTGAGACAGGATTTCTCTGTAGCCCCGGCTGTCTTTGAACTCAAGCTATAGACCAGGCTGGCCTCAAAACTCAGAGATCCACCTGTCTGCACCTCCCAAGTGCTGGGATTAAAGGCATGCGCCACCACTGCCTGGTACTCATATTTTTTGCTTATAGTTTTTTAGTACACTTTTAATTTATCCCTATATATAGTGAGTCTTGATCACATCTAATCAAAATGTTTCTTTTTACACACACACCCAGTACTTCTCCCTCTCACTCTCATCTCTTTATCTTATTAATAACTCACTGAGTCAGATTGGTGCTGTTTCTGCCGACAGTGTGGGGCATGGATACTCTCCCAGTGGCTATACTCTCCAAGGAAAGTGACTCTGTCTCTCCCAGCAGCCATTAATGGTCAATAGCTCCTGAGCTGGTGGTGGGGCCTACCGGGCCCCTTCCATCCATGCTGGTCTGTTGAGTGGCTGGAGCTTGGTGTGCAGGTGACCACAGCTGCTGTGCACTCTTGAGTGCAATGGCCTCATGTCCAGTAGGCAGCATTTCTTAGCACTCCTCCACTTTCAAACAAACAAACAAACACAAACAGCAACTGAAACTATGCTGCCCAGGCTGGCCTTTAACTCGAAGTCTGATGCCTCTGCCTCTCAAATAGCTAGGAAAACAGGTGTGTGCCACTAATCCCAGAGTTTTCCCCAACAATTTTAGAAATAGGAACTGATAAGATGGCTCTGCAGAAAAATGTGTTGCTTGCAAAGCTTGATGACCTGGGTTGAATCCCTGGAACCAACATGGTGGAGGCATAAAGCCAGCTCTCAAAGGTTGTCCTCTGGCCTTTGTAACCTCCTCATACACAAATAGATAAGTTAACTTAAACTTTTAAGATGGATGTTCTGTGTGTTGTGGTGGCACATATTTGTAATCTTAGCAGAGGCAGGAAGACTGCCCGAAAGTTCAAGGCCTGCCTGCTCTACATAGTGAGTCCCAGACCAACTCAGGGCTACATAGTGAGACCCTTTCTAAAATAAAACATATTTAAAATGCCAAACAAACAAAAATGTATGTTTTCCCAACACCGTTCCAAAGTTCCACAGGGGCAAGGCCTGGGCACTAATGATAACAGCTAATATTGTTGGCTGAGCAGGGTACTGAGCCTGTTCCTTGGTTTACCTTCTACAGCAATCCCAGAGGTACCTATTCTGATGATTCCCGTTGTACAGACTGATGAATGGGCAGATGAGAAAGGCAAACTCGAATCACACACGGGGAGCGCCTGAGGCTTTACCTCCAACGCCCAACCTTCACTAAGCGGTCACTCTGGGATCTGAAAAGAAGCACAGGCATGAGGCAGCCAGAAACCATCCTGCTCACAGTTGTCAGACTGGCTTGACAGACAGGGGCCAGCCCACTTCCTTCACCCTCAGAAAAAGCTGGTTCTCTGGCCACAGAAGCAAGAGGAGGGCTGTTCAAGTGGGAATAGAACGCAGAGTTTGGAGACAAGCAGACCCAAGTTCAAAGTTCAAGTCACAGCTTTCCTCCTGCCAAATGTATAGCTTTGGGTAAGAGGCCCACTCATTTGATCCTCCCAGTCTTCCTCTGAGGAGACGATCAATGCCACTTTTTTTAATTATAATGTGAGATGTTTGTTTCAGACAGGGTCTTTCCAGGTAGCCCAGAATGGTCTCAAAAACCCTGGGGGGAATTTTGTGGTCGAGGAATCAAACCCAGGACCTTTTTTGCTCACTCGTAAGTACTCTACCACTGAGTCACGTCCTCAGTCCTTCCTGTTTTCCTTCTTGACAGGTTTCTATTGCTGTGCTATGAGAAGGTATGAAAGTCACCCGCCTTCCCTAGAGGCCGCATCCTTGTGCTCCACCAATGATCCTGTATGAGCCAAAGGCTTAGAAGTCCTTGACTTCCATCCTGAGGGGTTAGCCTTTCTCTGCTGTGATCTTGGGGCCCTAAGGACCTTGTCATTTATCTTTGGCCATGTTTCCTGTTTCTGTGTCACTAGCATAGACCTCTGCTCTTTTAGAAACAAGAAAGGAGAGAAAAAAACAACAAACCCCCCTTCGTGTGTGTGTGTGTGTGTGTGTGTGTGTGTGTGTGTGTGTGTGTGTGTGATATTTCTGTATTTTTAAAAAAATTATTTTATGTACATTGGTCTTTTGCTTGCATGAATGAATATCTTTATGAGGGTATTGGATCCCCTGGAACAGGAGCTATGGACATTTGTAAGCTGTCATGTGGTTGCTGGGAATTGAACTCAGGTCTTCTGGAAGAGCAGTCAGTGCTCTTAACCACTGAGCCATCTCTCCAGCCCATATTTCTGTATTTTTTAAAGTGTGTGTAACAACAATTTTTTTAAAGATTGTATTATGTATACAATGTTCTGTCTGCATGTATGCCTGCAGGCTGGAAGCAGGCACCAGATCTCATTATGGATGGTTGTGAGCCACCATTGGTTGCTGGGAATTGAACTCAGGACTGCTGGAAGAGCAGTTGGTGCTCTTAACCTCTGCGCCATCTCTCTAGCCCACATATTTCTGTATTTTTATGAAGATTTTCTTTCTGTTTGGGTTCTGGAAATTAAACCCAGGATCCTCTCTTGCTAAGCTTGTGATCAGTGGTACTGAGCTATACCATCAGCCCCAGAACCCTTGTTTTAGGAGAGGAGGAAGGAGTTTAAGGCAGGGTCTTAGGTTGGGTGGCAATGGTGCACACCTTAATACAGCATTCAGGAGGCATAGGCAGGCAGATCTCTTGAGTTTGAGGCCAGCCTGGTCTACAGATTCAGTTCCAGGACAGCCAAGGATATTGAGCAAAACCCTGTCTCAAAAAAGGAAAAGAAGGGCTGGAGAGGTGGCTCAGTGGTTAAGAACACTGCCTGCTCTTCCAAAGGTCCTGAGTTCAATTCCCAGCAGCCATATGGTGTCTCACAGCCATCTGTAGTGAGATCTGGTGCCCTCTTCTGGTGTGCACGCATACATGCAGGTAGAACACTGTATACATAATAAATAAATAAATCTTTAAAAAAAAGAAAGAAAAGAAATAAAATGGGTCTCACTCTGTAACCCAGGTTAGCTTCCAACTCACCAGTCTTCTAGCTTCAGCCTCCCAAGTTCTGGGGTTACAGGTATGAGCCACCACACCTGGTTGTTGTTCCTAACTGAAGAGCTGAAGAGTCAAGGTTTGTTTTTCCTGGGGGGAGGGAATAGAGATACATATATTCAAGTTCTTGATCAGTCTCTCTCTCTCTCTCTCTCTCTCTCTCTCTCTGTCTCTCTCTGTCTCCACTCCCAGCCAAAGTGTCAAGAAAATTTGCTATATATTATAGATAAACAACATCTTTAATAATAAAGTTTAATATGAAATAGCTCTTGTATGTGTGTGTAGGTGTGAGTACTCACAGAGTCTGGAGGAGAATGCCTGGTGTCCTGCCTTTTTCGTTCCTTTAAGACAAGGTTTCTGTTTCTTCCTGAGTCCAGAACTAAGTGGGTAGACAGCAAGCCCCAGTGACCCTCCTGCCCCACCCCCATCCCCCACAGCACTGGGGTTTCTTGTGTACAAATGTTCATGCCTGGCCTTTTACCTGGTTGCTGGGATCCAAACTCAGGTTCTCATACTTGCACACAATTGCTATTATGAGTTGAAGCATCTCCAGACGACCCCACCACCACCTTTTTGTTCTGTTTTTACTTTTTATTTGTTTTTTTCCATACTCGCCTGAAACTCTGGATGCAGACATATGCCTCTGCCTCTGCCTCTGCCTCTGCCTCTGCCTCTGCCTCTGCCTCTGCCTCTGCCTCTGCCTCTGCCTCTGCCTCTGCCTCTGCCTCTGCCTCTGCCTCTGCCTCTGCCTCTGCCTCTGCCTCTGCCTCTGCCTCTGCCTCTGCCTCTGCCTCTGCCTCTGCCTCTGCCTCTGCCTCTGCCTCTGCCTCTGCCTCTGCCTCTGCCTCTGCCTCTGCCTCTGCCTCTGCCTCTGCCTCTGCCTCTGCCTCTGCCTCTGCCTCTGCCTCTGCCTCTGCCTCTGCCTCTGCCTCTGCCTCTGCCTCTGCCTCTGCCTCTGCCTCTGCCTCTGCCTCTGCCTCTGCCTCTGCCTCTGCCTCTGCCTCTGCCTCTGCCTCTGCCTCTGCCTCTGCCTCTGCCTCTGCCTCTGCCTCTGCCTCTGCCTCTGCCTCTGCCTCTGCCTCTGCCTCTGCCTCTGCCTCTGCCTCTGCCCCTGCCTCTGAAGAGCTTGGATTAAAACACACACACACGTCATCGAGCTGAGCAGTGGTGGCTGGCACAGGCCTTAATCCCAGCACTCAGGAGCCAGAGGTAGGCAGGCAGATCTCTTCAAGTTTGAAGCCAGCCTTGACTACAGAATGAGTTCCAGGCCAGCCAAGGCTACACAGAGAGACCCTTTCTCAAAACAGAAAAACAAACAGACAATGATGGTGCATTGGGGGGGGGGGCAGGGCTTGTTTTTTTGAAACAAGTTCTTATGCTGGCCTCAAACTCCTCATACCTCCTCCACCTCTCAAGTGCTGGGATCACAATGTCTTTAATCCCAGTACTTGGGAGGCAGAGACTGGCAGATCTCTGTGAGTTCGAGGCCAGCCTGTTCTACAGAGCGAGTGTGAGGACAGGCTCCAAAGCCACAGAGAAACTCTGTCTCAAAACACCAAAAAAAAAAAAAAAAAAAAAAATAGTGTGTGTGTGTGTGTGTGTGTGTGTGTGTGTGTATCAGAGGACAACTTAAAGGAATTGGTTCTCTTTCAGCCCTCCGGGTCCCCAGTTGAACCTGGGTTCTTGGGCTTTCAGACAAGCACCTTCACTAGTCACTCATCTCACCATCTTGGTTTTTTGTTCTTTGTTGCATTGCAGAACCTGTGTATTTGGGGGTGGGGGGAGTGCTTAGATGTGTGTGTTTGAAATTGAATTTTTTGTATTCTAGATGTGTGGGTTTGAATACACATATGTGCACTGCATGCAGAGGCCTAAGGTTGATGTTGGGAATTATGACTGATTGTTCTGCCACCACACTCATGAGGTAGAGTCTGTCTCTCAAACACAATACTCAACAGCATGAGAAGTGTCAATAGTGAGCTTGCGCTAAAGACCCTGATTCCACTTTTCAAGACTGGAACTTACAGGTAAGCCACTTAACATGAGTTTAGTGATCTAAGCTCTGGGCTTGACACCTCCCCACACACTTTGTTTTATGTTTTGAGACAGGCTTTGAACTCATGACCTTTCCGCCTTAGTCTGCCACATACTGGGATTTACATTATATCCAACTTGTATTTTTCTTTCTTTTCTTTTCCTTTCTTTTTTGTTTTTGTTTTTGTTTTTCCAGACAGGGTTTCTCTGTGTAGCCCTGGCTGTTCTGGAATTTGTTTTGTAGACCAGGCTGGCCTCAAACTCACAGAGATCCGCCTGCCTCTGCCTCCCGAGTGCTAGGATTAAAGGTGTGCGCCACCAAAGCCTGGCCCTTACCTAGTTTTTAATAATGTAGACTAGAAACCATCAGAATGGGCAGCAACAGGGTCCAGTTGTATCGGGAAAGGTGATGAAGCTTCTAACTTAAGAGTCCCTCCAGTTTCCTGTGTTCACTTTGCACAGCCACGCTAGAAAAAGGCTGAGAGGGCAGCTAGAGCATTCCAGCTGAATGGCAGGGACTTGATGTAGTTCACATTTGGTGAACTGAGCTGATCCCAATGAATAATCAACAAAACATGGACCAAGCTGACTTCTGATAGCTGTCCATGCCGAGTCTCTGCTTAGACATTTCCTGCAGTGTTGCCATTCTCTAAGACTGACTTGAAAATTAGCTTACAAAGTAATGGGTGGCTTTCCCGCTTCCTTTCTTTCTTTCTTTCTTTCTTTCTTTCTGAGACTGGATTTTCTTTGTGTAGTCCTGGCTGTCCTGGAACTCACTGATATTCACCTGCCCCTGTCTCCCAAGTGCTGGGACTAAAGGAAGGTGCCACCACCACCCGGCTGGCTGTAAATACTTTTCTACTTCTGTTTTCATGTTGCATTTTCTTTGCTCATTCTTTTATAATTTTTTTAAAAGATTTGTTTATGTGCATCAATACTGTACCTGCATGTATGTATGCGAACCATGTGCATGCCTGGTGCCTGAGAAGATCAGAAGAAGGCTCAGATGCCCTGGAACTGGAGTTATAGATGGTTGTGAGCTGCTGTGGGTTCTGGGAATCAAACTCTGATCCTTCCAAAGGGCCATTTCTCTGTTCTCTCTTTCTTCTTCTCTCCCTTCCTCCCTCCCTCCTTCTTTCTTCCTATACTGGAGATTAAGCACAGAGCTCCACAAATGCTAGACAAATATCCTATCACTAAGCCACGCCCAGTATCACAATGTTATTCTCTTTGTTTGGAGTCAGATCTCTCTCTGTTGCCAGGGCTGTCCTTGAACTCTCTGTGATTCTCCTGCCTCTGCCTTCTGAATCCTGAGATTACTATATATTCACTATTACGGGCAGTTTCACAATATACATTTTTATGCCCACAAATTTTACTTTATAATCAACAGAAAACAGTTTTGGGGCTGGGAAAATGGCTCAGTGAGTAAAGTATATGCCACACAAGCATGAGGAACTGAGTTTAATCACCAGCACCCACATAAGACCTGGCCGTGGAGACATGTGCCTATAGTTCCAGGACTAGGGGAAATAGGAGGGTCCTGGACTTGCCAACCAATCAATCTGACCAATCAGTCAGGTTCAGTGAGAGGCCCAGTCTCAAAAACTAAATGTGAAATGCAGACAGGAGTAGTAGCATATGTCTTCACTCCCAGCAAAGGCAGGAAGATCTCTGTGAGTTCAAGGCCAGCCTGGTCTACACGGTGAGTTCCAGGACAGCCAAAGCTATATACAGAGATCCTGTCTCAAACAAAACAAAGAAAAAACAGTAGAGAGTGATCAAGGCAGACACCCAGCACTGGCTTACACACACACACACACACACACACACACACACACACACACATAAACACACACACATAAACACACACACAGAAATGCACATGCACACAAACAGAACAGGTCTACACTGTGACTCTATTTTTTTTTTGTTGTTGTTGTTGGTTTTTTGTTTGTTTGTTT